TTGACTTCTCTGCTCACTGGTTAAGTGATCATTTTCTTCAATTTTCAATGCCTTAATTATTTCAGCTATTCTATCAGATTCTTTCATTTTAGGGGTAATAATTTTGACACTAGACACTGGACAAAATTTTCCCAATATTGTCCCTTTTGGAAATATCACCGTGCTTTTGTTAGGGTTGTAAATTTTTGTGTAAAATTTAGGCTGTGTCAGCATTATTTCGCATCCTTGCGACCGTAACTTTTTCCCATGTTGCCACAATTCGGGGTCTGGAAAATACATATATTCTTTCGGAACAAAAGGCTGATTGCCCTCAATTGTGCACAAAATTTCTTTTTCACTTTTAACTTTAACTTCTTGTAACGTTTTAAGTGTATACATAAAGTGGCTTGAATCTAACTGTTCTATTTTTATTAACTTAGCCGTAAATTCGTTATTTGAGAAAGTGTGACTTTGGTAATCAATTTTTGCCTTTATTTTGTCAATAAAATCTATACCTAAAATTACAGATTCACTCAAGTCGTCAACGATGATAAAATTTGCTTCCGTGACAAAATTTTCAATTGTCACTGGTACATTTTTGATTATTCCTACGCTTTTAATAACATTTCCTGATACGCCTTTTAAGGAACATGAATTATTTTCTATTATCATCTGAGTCGATTTATTAATTTGTTTAAAAAACTGTGAATTAATTAAACTACGTGAGGCTCCTGTATCAATGAGCGAATTTGTAATTTCCGAGTATATTTTAGATTTTATGTACACATGCCCCTCACAGTATTTAGTTTCTACTGTATCCGATTTTACTTTCTCGTGTGAGGGGCTTGGAAGTTTCCCAAGTTACGATTTTCAGCCGGCTTGTAGTAAGTTCGGTTATCATTGAAATTTCTTCCAGCATAACTACTGCCTGCTCTTTCCCCTCTTTGTGCATTGTTAAATGACTTGTTACGACGCTCATTTTGAAATTTGAAACAGTTCTGTTTAATGTGACCTGCTTTGTTACAGTAGTGACAAACTTTCTTAGTCTTTCTTGGTGCTATGCAATTAACAGCCCAGTGGCCATATTTTCCGCAGTTAAAACAATTTCCACTAACTTTATTAGAGTTATCAATTTTAGGAGCTTCTGCTTTTAAAATTTCAATTTCGTGTCCGCCAGAAGCTTGTTTCCTGGCTTCTAAATTCTTCTCTAAATCTATAGCGTCCCGATATAAGGTTGCAAAGTCGGGTGTTTTATTATTCATTAAATGAATTGCAATTGAATTGTTTAGTAGGCCGTACACAAAAATATCTCGTATATTTGCCTCACGAGCTGCAGATTCAGCTTCGTCGTACGCTTTGCTAGCCATCCTCTGTAATTTTCGGCCAAATTGTTCACAAGTTTCGGAGGGTAATTGCTTCATTGCAAATAGTTTTGCTCGTGCTTGCTGTCTACTGTCTGGTTCTAGAATATTTCGCAGCCTTTGTTTTAATTCAGTCCAGTTGTTTTTCTGCTCCGAATTAAGTTTAATAGCGCTCAGTTTCTCATTACTTTCTGTATCGAGATAAGTGAAAAGGAGCCTCCCACGATCCGCTTCCGGAATATTTAAAATTCGGGCAAAATTAGACCAACTTTCCAAATATGCATTAAAGTCCTCGCCGTACTTAAAAATTTGAGGTTTCCTGCTTGCATGCGAGGTACTGTTGTCCCTCCGGAAAACTACTTTACTTAAATCACTTAACAAATTTTCTTTAGCTGCCACTTCTGTTTCTTGTTTAATTACATTAACTTGCTCTTCTGTAAAAGTTGCCATTCTTAATTTTAAACGCCAAACTTGATATAAACAATACCTCAAATATCAGTGCGGTAGCAGGTTTCTATGTTTGGGCTCTTCCACTTGTGGCGGGCTCTTCGTTGGGCGGGCTCTTCGTTTCTCGTCTTCAGTCTCTGTAGCTGTAGGTTGGACGGGCTCTTCGTTGGGCGGGCTCTTCGTTGGGCGGGCTCTTCGTTGGGCGGGCTCTTCGTTGGGCGGGCTCTTCGTTTCTCGTCTTCAGTCTCTGTAGCTGTAGGTTGGGCGGGCTCTTCGTTGGGCGGGCTCTTCGTTTCTCGTCTTCAGTTTCTGTAGCTGTAGGTTGGGCGGGCTCCAGTCTCAGTAGCTGTAGGTTGGGCGGGCTCCAGTCTCTGATGGTTTAGAGAATATGCGTGGGCTCTTCCACTCGTCGCCAATGTTACAACGGAAACAACAGTTTAGGAGAAGTGGTTTAAAATAAACTAACTTTTTCGACACAAAACATCTGTATTTATATTAGCTACCTTCTAGGTCATAATAACTATTTTAACGTCACACTAAAGTTAGTGCACCGTGAGCTGACCGGGGTTAAATGAGGCATAGTCCACCTGCTATGGTCATGTGACCTAGGTCACATGACTTACAACCAATGGACGGCTGCCCCACCTATTGTTGGACCAATCGTAAAATTCGCGAATATTCTGCACCCATATTTTAGAACAGCAATGTTTACAGGTCACGATTGACCGGTCACAATTGATGAACCACCTGTTCCCATGTTACTATCATCTAATCCTATGACCTAACACTGCGAATGTCCAGCAAGACCCACAGCTTCCTTGGTTCTTGACTCTTGTTACCATACCCTCATTAGTCCAGAGTTTGGTAATGGGGGATTCTGACAAAGAGGAGGGGACTTGAATAGGGTTCTCGTCATGTTCAGTCTCATGTCCAGTTATGTTTATTCCTAAGTACTGTTGCTTCTCATCTACAGTCATTGCGGAGAAGAAGTTAAGACCAAAGACGGCAGATCCCCCTTCCTCGTTAGATTGAGCTACTAACTCGGCATTGGATCTGAAGAGTCGGAACCTCATTCGGTCTTCAGATGACAGGTAGTCGAGGTGCTGCTGAGTTTTGAACTCTCCGTAAAGCTGAAGGGTTGCTTTGGGGGACCTAAGAATGCTCCTGAGGGCATCCTCAGTAGCAAGAGAGGCAGCCAAAAGGCAAAAGAATAGAAAGATTTTCATGGTGATTAGTGACTATACGAAGTGAAGATTCCTTGCTGATCCCCCTATTTTATAGGAATTGAGGACAATACCACCACCAGATGTCTGTTCCCTCAGTTACAAGTGCGACAAATTATCCGAACTCTAACTTATTCACGACACTCTAAAGTTGTCATGTTGTTTGTTAATGCTCTTAGAGCAGATTTTAAACTAATTAAAAAACGCTACGAATATATTACATTATTGAGTTGGAGTATGTTTAAAGTAGTTCGTTTCTCTTGTCTGTAATATACAAATGTGACTGAGTTCAGTTAGTAGGGACTTGAACAAAAGAGTTAATTCTTACAACCATCTGGTAACTTAATCTATTTTGTAGCGACCCAGGAAAACTTAATTGTTCATCAAATATTTCCTCGAAAACGTCTCGGTAAAATACAAATTAGCCTCTTGGTTATGAATCCGACTCTTGGTCAATCAAAAGATATTTGTTAAAGGTATAAATTATAAAAACTATGTAAGCTATCATTAGAAAGTATTACCTGTAGAACTAGTGGTGTATCGTATTCAGTCTCTTTCGAGTTTGATTTCCTCATTCCCAATACATATGTCACGTGTAAATTTCCAATTATCTGGTAATTTGACAGCATTGGTAAATTAATTAGTTAATTAGTAAATACCCGGAATTCCTTTAAACGACTAAGATACAGGTTTGATACAATTGAGCTGAAAATAGTTATAAGATTGAAGAAGCACGTCATCACGTCATGTTACTAGTAGAAAAGTAGAAAAAGTAAGGAAACTAAAATTGTCATACATCACAAATAACAAAATCATCACACATAGTGATGATAAATGTTTAATCTGGTTAATTGAAGTTCATGGTATAACATTAATACAAGGATTTAATTGTACAATTTTTATACTCACGTAAGAATAAGACATGTGCCCGTGGGTCGGCTGTTTCATATCAAACATGGACGCAAGTGATTCTCCAAGTAGCTTTGTAAATGAGTTTTTTAGTTTTTTACCAACGTGCAAAATCTTCAGATCCCTGAAACAGTTACTATGAACTATAATTCAGGCTTCACAAACTCTAATAGTTTAGTAGCCTCTAGCCAAGTTTAATTAATTTAATAATTTCCTAAGGCCTATCTCAAAATTCTGTAGGAGAAGATAAAAAAATGTAGGAGAAGATAGATTTTTAGACTCGATTTTCAGGGCGCGCGATTGAAAATCTCTCGCGCAATACAATTACACATTTAAGCGCTGACCTTTGACCAGCAATAATTTTGGCTAGGAACAATATTCTTCCATAGGACCAGAAACAGCTGATAGATATCACTCCCCTCCATCAGAAACAATTACAAAGTCAATTTCGAGAGAATTTTGATGAAGACCCCCCCCCCCGGCCCCATTAAGGTACTTCCTCTATTAGTTACCTGTCAAAGTGGAGATAGAAAGGAAATTTCTTCAACATTTGAGAAGGTCTGAAGCGCTGCAAAACCTCGTTCGGTAACTTCCCTTGGTTGGGCCCTCTCTTTGCCACGTTTGTAAACTTCTGGAAATAGTCATGTTCACTTATACTTCACCTACTACTTCCTCTTCTTCTCCTTCTCCCCTCCCTCCCTCTCCCCTCTCTCTCCTCTCTCCTCTCTCCCTCTCCTCTCTCCCTCCCTCCCTCTCCCCTCCCACCCTCCCCTTCCACCACCACCCCTCCTTCTCCCCTTGAGAAAAACCTCACAAGTGTAATGAATGCTCCTTATCTTTCACTCAGAAATCTACCCTCAGACAACACCAGCTGTCCGAGCTTAAATTATGAAAATTGCAACTTCCAGAGTTTTTATTAATTTATTTAAAATTTATTCTGTTTTTAAAACTCAAACTGTCACATTTTCGTTGGTGATAATTAAGTTGATTCGTTATTTAAATGATGAACGTATTATATAATAAGAATAATGACCCCATAACTTATTGATTGGTTTTAATACTTCATTTTATTAACAGTAGGATTGGCTATGTCAAAGAAGAGGATATTATCCCCAGATGCAGTGCTTGCGGCTGCTGATACAATCATGAATTACAAACCTAACAATGCAACTGTAATAAAAAAAGAGATTAAAACTGAGCAGGAGGAGTTACAAGGTAAATCCCATGGATTTCTTTGTCCGAAATGTGAAGCTCATTTTCTGTACGAGGAGTACTTTTGTAATCATATCCGAGAGCATCATGAAGATATTAGCAGTGTACGTAATTTGGATTTTAAGGTGCTCAGAAATTCTACAAAATTGTCAGGAAAATCGATGAATCCAATATCAAGAGAGAAATCATTCAAGTGTAGTGAATGCTCCTTATCTTTCTCTTATAAATCTAATCTCAGGACACATCAGCGTGTACACACAGGAGAGAAACCCTTCAAGTGTAGTGAATGCTCCGTAACTTTCTCTCATGAATCTACTCTCAGATCACACCAGCATATTCACACTGGAGAGAAACCGTTCAAGTGTAGTGAATGCTCCTCATCTTTCACTCAGAAATCTACCCTCAGACGACACCAACGTATTCACACTGGAGAAAAACCTCACAAGTGTAGTGAATGCTCCTCAACTTTCACTCAGAAATCTAATCTCAGAGCACATCAGCGTATTCACTCTGGAGAGAAACCTCACAAGTGTAGTGAATGCTCCTCATCTTTCTCTGATAAATCCAATCTCAGAAAACACCAGCGTGTCCACACTGGAGAGAAACCGTTCAAGTGTAGTGAATGTTCCTCATCTTTCACTCAGAAATCTACCCTCAGACATCACCGGCGTATTCACACTGGAGAGAAACCGTCCAAGTGTAATTGATGCTCCTTATCTTTCAGACACAAATCTAATCTGAATAGTCACCAGCGTATTCACACTGGAGAGAAACCGTTCAAGTGTTATGAAATATGAATGCTCCTTATCTTTCACTCAGAAATCTCATCTCAGAGCACATCAGCATGTACACACTGGAGAGAAACCTGTCAAGTCAAAGGAGTGATCATAATATTATGATAATTTGCTTGTTCTGACAGAAGTAACCTTTTCAAACACCAACGTATTCACACATATTAAAATCTTTACCGACGAAAACAGTATTCCCAAATTTATATCGGGGATATTCCCTTTGTTTAAACTTTGTTGAATAATGAGCATGTTCCTTTGACAATATCAGGGAATTACTTTCAATTTTCATTGTTACTGTACTTTTATATTTTTTATATGTGAATCACCAAAAGATGAATAACAAGTGTTCTGATTTGTTTTTCATGTTACATTTGACTCAGTTAAACATTATTATAACTAATGATAATTTAAGTTATGTGTATTTGAATTGATCAACTCAATTACAGCTCTGTTTCTACTTTCTACTTATCATTATATCGAGAAGATTCGTCCTAACGTGCATACCATTTCGAATCCCTTTCGAATAAGATATTATGTAGACATCATTTTATTTAAGCTACCTTTAAAGTTTAAACGGCAACATAATCAGATCTTTATAATATAATAACAATATTATGATAGTCAGTAACTTGAAACCATATAGCAATAGTCAATACACAGTTCATCGCGATGTAAAATTTACAGATCCTCACACTTAGAAATATAACCTATGTTTATACCTGTTATATCTTTATATTTCCCCAACCGTGCGTTAACCGTGCCTTAAGTGACCATAATGGTTGCTTTTGGGCAGTTCGTGCCTTAACCGTGCCTTAACCGTGCGTTAACCGTGCCTTAAGTCTTTAAGGGACCATGCCTCAACCGTGCCTTATGTAACCCTTGTTCCCCCGCCACTTGTATGTTTACAGGTTATATTTATCCAACCGTGCGTTAACCGTGCATTAACCGTGCCTTAAGCGACCATAATGGTTGCTTTTGGGCAGTTTGTGCGTTAACCGTGCTTTAACCGTGCGTTAACTGGGCCTTAAGTCTTTAAGGGACCATGCCTCAACCGTGCCTTATGTAACCCTTGTGCCTTAACTGTGCCTTAACCGTGCCTTAACTGTGCTTAAATGTGCGTAGCTACATTACCAAATTTCCATGTTTTATTTGCTATTTAACCTATCTAAAGTTTAGTACGATTATACAAGTATCTGATTTAAAGAGATCATGAAGTGTAAATTTGCGAATTCTTCAAAAATACTCGAAACTTGGGTAGTGAGCTAGGCTTGGTAATTCTGCCGCAATCCCAAAATAGCTCCGTCGTAATTGCTTCACAAGCTGAGATAATATGGGGCATATCAATTACATTTTTCCAAGTTGCGGCTAGGTGACAGGATAGCATATACGACATGTGTAAAAACACCTGATTTTAATCGTCCATAACAAGTTTTCTGTTGGTTATTTTTTTGAACCGATAAGATTACCATCAGGTATAAACCATTATATTTCACATATCTTCCTAAATTTGGTGCACAGCGATTAATCTAGTTCCTACAAGCAATTAAAGGCAGCTCACTTCATGGAACTTGAATGTAGCACGAAATCCTGGAATAATAGCTTAATTTTAATGCCATTATGTGCGGCTGTGTTTCAGCTATCTTCATGCACATTTTGCTGATATGCCAACGAAATTAACTTGCTCAAAAATTCAAAAAACATGGTTTTTTGCCATATTTTTGGCCCAAAAATCGGTTTTTTGCGATTTTACCTGGGGAAACTCAGACTTATCATTTCAAAACCACGTTTAATCGATTCTACGGTCAAAAGTACGTCTAGAAAGATGTATGTGGAGTCCCTAGCGTATCGAGCAGAAAATGCCCGTAAGAGCTTTTACTAGTAAATTTATAAGACAATTATTTGACGCTTGTGTATATTATGCACATTATACAACCACAATTTTCGAAAGATAAAAGTCAAATCTATCAAGTGTCGTTAATTTGAAGATTTTATCAATTAAATTGGCGCCACAGCACATGAATCAAAATGTGCATTTTAACACTGTTTCTATTGCAGTGTCTGACAGTTAGCCGCAATCCAAGAAAATAGGGCGATTTTCCAGTATCGATTTCACGCGACATAATTAAGTTACGAATCTGGGAATTCCGAGCCCTATTCTTATATTAGTGTTTCTATGTGATAGTATATGTGAAATGTTTTGACGATTAAGTCGGGGACACTTCATGATCCCTTTAACTTTAAATATCAGAAATTTGTATTCCTGAGTTTTTATTCATTTATTTAAAATTTATTCTGTTTTTAAAATTCAAAATGTTAAATTTTCCTTGTTGATAATTAGGTTGATTCATTATTCAAATGATTAAACGTATTATATATAATTAGAATTACCCCATAACTTATTGATTGGTTTTAATACTTCATTTTATTAACAGTAGGATTGGCTATGTCAAAGAAGATGAAGTTATCTCCAGATGCAGTGGTGGGAGCTGCTGATACAATCATGAAACCTAATAATGCAACTGTAATGAAAAAGGAGATTAAAATTGAGCAGGAGGAGTTACAAGGTAAATCCCATGGTTTTCTTTGTCCGAAATGTGAAGCTCAATTTTCGTTGGTGATAATTAGGTTGATTCATTATTTAAATCGTTAAACGTATTCTATATAGTTAGAATTACCCCGATAACTTATTGATTGGTTTTAATAGTTCATTTTATTAACAGTAGGATTGGCTATGTCAAAGAAGAGGAAATCATCTCCAGATGAAGTGGTGGCAGCTGATACAATCATGAATAACAAACCTAACAATGCAACTGTAATAAAAAAGGAGATTAAAACGGAGCAGGAGGAGTTACAAGGTAAATCCCATGGTTTTCTTTGTCCGAAATGTAAAGCTCATTTTCTGTACGAGGAGTACTTTTGTAATCATGTCAGAGAGCATCATGAAGATATAAGCAGTGTACGTAATTTAGATTCTAAGGTGCTCAGAATCTCCACAAAATTGTCAGGAAAGTTGATGAATCCAATATCAGGAGAGAAATCATTCAAGTGCACTGATTGCTCCTTATCTTTCTCTAACAAATCTAGTCTGATCAATCACCAGCGTATTCACACTGGAGAGAAACCGTTCAAGTGTAGTGAATGTTCCTCATCTTTCACTCAGAAATCTACTCTCAGATCACATCAGCGTATTCACACTGGAGAGAAACCGTTCAAGTTCCTCATCTTTCACTCAGAAATCTAATCTCAGAGCACATCAGCGTATTCACTCTGGAGAGAAACCTCACAAGTGTAGCGAATGCTCCTCATCTTTCTCTGATAAATCTACTCTCAGAAAACACCAGCTTATCCACACAGGAGAGAAACCTTTTAAGTGTAATGATTGCTCCTCATCTTTCACTCAGAAAGCTCATCTCAGAGCACATGAGCGTATCCACACTGGAGAGAAACCGTTCAAGTGTAGTGAATGCTCCTCAACTTTCTCTGATAAATCTACTCTCAGAAAACACCAGCTTATCCACACAGGAGAGAAACCTTTTAAGTGTAGTGAATGCTCCTCATCTTTCACTCAGCAATCTACTCTCAGAGCACATCAGCGTATTCACACTGGAGAGAAACCTCACAAGTGTAGTGAATGCTCCTCAACTTTTTCTGATAAATCTACTCTCAGAAAACACCAGCTTATCCACACAGGAGAGAAACCTTTTAAGTGTAGTGAATGCTCCGCATCTTTCAGACACAAATCTAGTCTGAATAGTCACCAGCATATTCACACTGGAGAGAAACCTCACAAGTGTAGCGAATGCTCCGTAACTTTCACTCAGAAATCTCATCTCAGAGCACACCAGCTTGTACACACTGAAGAGAAACCTGTCAAGTCAAAGAAGTGATCATAATATGCTTGTTCTGACAGAAGTAACCTTTTCAAACACCAACGTATTCACACGTCATATTAAAAACTTTACCGACGAAAGCAGTATTTTTAAATTTATATCGGGGATATTCCGTTTGTTTAAATTTTTCAGTTTCAACTGTTCAAGACGACTCACAACTAACAGACTCTTTGAGGTCTCAGTGTAGTTGTTAAATAATGAGCATGTTCTTTTGACAATATCAGGGAATTACTTTCAATTGTCATTGTTACTGTACTTTTATATCTTTTATATGAATCACCAAAAGATGAATAACAAGCGATCTGATTTGTTATTCATGTTACATTTGACTCAGTTAAACATTATTATAACCAATGATAATTTTGGTTATAATGTGTATTTGAATTGATCAACTCAATTACAGCTCTGTTTCTACTTATCATTATATCGAGAAGATTCTTCCTAACGTGCATAACATTTCGAATCCCTTTCGAATAAGATATTATGTAGAAATCATTTTATTTAAGCTACCTTTAAAGTTTTAACGGTAACATAATCAGATCTTTATAATATAATAACAATATTATGATAGTCAGTAACTTGAAATCATATAGCAATAATCAATACACGGTTCATTATTGACGACGTCATGTAAATTATGAAAATTGCAAGCTGTCATGTTTTAAATTTGATATTTTCCTGAGTTTTTATTAATTTATTCAAAATTTATTCTGGTTTTTTAACTCAAACTGTCCAATTTTCGTTGGTGATAATTAGGTTGATTCATTATTTAAATGATTAAACGTATTCTATATAGTTAGAATTACCCCATATTCCATAACTTATTGATTGGTTTTAATACTTCATTTTATCAACAGTAGGATTGGATATGTCAAAGAAGATGAAGTTATCTCCAGATGCAGTGGTGGGAGCTGCTGATACAATCATGAAACCTAACAATGCAACTGTAATAAAAAAAGAGATTAAAACTGAGCAGGAGGAGTTACAAGGTAAATCACATGGTTTTCTTTGTCCGAAATGTGAAGCTCATTTTCTGTACGAGGAGTACTTTTGTAATCATGTCAGAGAGCATCATGAAGATATAAGCAGTGTACGTAATTTAGATTCTAAGGTACTCAGAATCTCCACAAAATTGTCAGGAAAGTTGATGAATCCAATATCAGGAGAGAAATCATTCAAGTGCACTGATTGCTCCTTACCTTTCTCTAACAAATCTAGTCTGATCAATCACCAGCGTATTCACACTGGAGAAAAACCGTTCAAGTGTAGTGAATGTTCCTCATCTTTCACTCAGAAATCTACTCTCAGATCACATCAGCGTATTCACACTGGAGAGAAACCGTTCAAGTGTAGTGAATGTTCCTCATCTTTCACTCAGAAATCTAATCTCAGAGCACATCAGCGTATTCACTCTGGAGAGAAACCTCACAAGTGTAGTGAATGTTCCTCATCTTTCTCTCGGAAATCTACTCTCAGAGCACACCAGCGTATTCACACTGGAGAGAAACCTTTTAAGTGTAGTGAATGTTCCTCATCTTTCTCTGATAAATCTACTCTCAGAAAACACCAGCTTATCCACACAGGAGAGAAACCTCACAAGTATAATGAATGCTCCGCATCTTTCAGACACAAATCTAGTCTGAATAGTCACCAGCGTATTCACACTGGAGAGAAACCTCACAAGTGTAATGAATGTTCCTTATCTTTCACTCAGAAATCTCATCTCAGAGCACACCAGCATGTACACAATGGAGAGAAACCTGTCAAGTCAAAGGAGTGATCATAATATGCTTGTTCTGACAGAAGTAACCTTTTCAAACACCAACGTATTCACAGATCATATTAAAAACTTTACCGACGAAAGCAGTATTTTCAAATTTATATCGGGGATATTCCGTTTGTTTAAACTTTTCAGTTGTCAACTGTTCAAGAGAGCAAGAGGACTCATAACTAACAGACTCTTTGAGGTCTCAGTGTAGTTGTTAAATAATGAGCATGTTCTTTTGACAATATCAGGGAATTACTTTCAATTTTCATTGTTACTGTACTTTTATATAATTTTAGTTATATGTATTTGAATTGATCAACTCAATTAAAGCTCTGTTTCTACTTATTATTATATCGAGAAGATTCTTCCTAAGATGCATACCATTTCGAATCCCTTTCGAATAAGATATATTATGTAGAAATCATTTTATTTAAGCTACCTTTAAAGTTTTAACGGTAACATAATCAGATCTTTATAATATAATAACTATATTATGATAGTCAGTAACTTGAAACCATATTATGGCTCAGATAGAAAGGAAATTTCTTCAACATTTGAGAAGGTCTGAAGCGCTGCAAAACCTCGTTCGGTAACTTCCCTTGGTTGGGCCCTCTCTTTGCCACGTTTGTAAACTTCTAGAAATCGTCATGTTCACCTATACTTCATCTACTACATATCTCCCTCTCCTTCTCTCCTTCTCACCTCCCACGTCTCCCCTCCTCTCTTCCCCCTTCCCTGCCTCTCTCCGTCCCCCTCACAGACTGACCGACACATGTTACCTGGTTATCAAACTTTATCTTCACAACAGACTTGTTAAACTTGTTATCTCTCTGTTCGTCGTCTTCACTGGTGTCGCCCATTTTTGATGTTATCTAGACGTTGATTTATCCTTTACAATCTCAGCTTATGATAAGCATATAAAAGTATCATAATACATAAAAGTTAGTAATATATAATAGATACATACATTATATAATGTAGAACTAAGCTTTAAATCTTCTTAAGTTAGTGAATTAAAATATTGGGATGTAGAACAAAAATTGAGAATTCATTATATTAACAGACTAGTTCATCACCTGAAGGTTCTCTTTCACCACGTAAAACTGCTCACTAATCACATACTCTATCATTCCCAGGCAGAAAGAGGTCATTTCCTCGTGAACTGTCTTGTACTCCAGTGTCATACCTTCGTTATCTTCACTCACTACCTGAGAGTTAACTTAATTAAGTTCATGTTTTTCCGCTGAAGTTGTAAGTTGTTCCTTGCAGATCTTAAGTAGATGATCAATTCGTAGTTAATTTGTGAAATTTGTATCTTGCATTCGTAAAATTAAGTCATGAAAGGTCCAAGGTTCATCATTACTAAATACGAACTATTTAAACCTATATAAACCTTGAATCTGTCATGTATAAAGAGCGGGTACTCCTTAGACTTGTACTCCAGGAAATCACTCCAGTTCCTAAAGAATTCTCCCGGAGTCCGGCCCAGTATCTTCATATTCCATTCGCTCCAAATGAACCTCATGTACCATCTACCAAACATTTGGAGCACCGCTGAACGGGTGTACCTCATCTTCAACATTGCGACTGGAACAGTATTAGGGTTTAGTTAGCTGTTTCATTTATTACAGAATGTAAAAAAGAATTGGCACGTATTTTTCGTTCTGGTAACGAATTTTGGTACCTAAAGATCCTTTGTGACGAATGTGTTGAGTAAATCATAATCCCGGTAATACTGTAGTTATCACATTATATAACATGTGTGATCTCCATTACCTTCAACTAGTTTGTAGAAAATATCCGCGCTGTAGTCGATACTATAGTCAAACTCGTCTGGACATCCAGAGTCCTGAAATAATAAAGTAAACTTTAACGGTCCTGGCTTATACTTACGGGGCTTTAATTCCTGATGGAGAAAAGTGCAGTTACAAATTTATATTTTTCTCCAAATTTCTACCGAATATGCTTACAATTACAATTACAAAATGATAATCGACTATTTGTTTACTATTTTAAGGATATCTTGTAAAATATCCCGAATTCAAATAGACAAACTTTCGAAATGTCCTGCCACACTTTCTTATCGAAGTCTTCAGAACATCCCAATCTTAAGGCATCCAATCCAAACCCATACATGATGCTCCTTCAGAGAGAGAGAGCTCCTTGGGATCACAAACTTTGTCTATGTTAAAATGTTAGCTAAAGAAACAATGTGATCTCCAAAAATAATATTCGTAATTTGACAATTTCATAGTGGGGAGATTGAGGTTTTCAATAACTACAAAATATGGCGAAAGAACAAGACGTAAACTAATGCAAAAGCAGTACCTGAGTTATAAAAAAGAACTGTAATGGTTACAAAGATTGGTTAACTTTAAGTTAAGTGGCTAAAACTCTAAAACTCTAAAAGTAAGATTTGTAAATGTAGCATCTGTCACTAACTCTCTCAGTCTCTCTTATTTTCTTTGAGGGGCTATCTTAATTCCAACTTTATATCGGAGGGGCTATCTTGAGGCCTTTTCTCAAAGTTTCTGGTTTTCTTTGAGTCGCCAGTTTAGCAGAGAGGATCTCGACATAAACTTCGTGTTGTCCACCATTAGCACCTACCCATTAACATACTGACTTCTTTATTCTTTTAGTGATCTCAGTCTGGCACCCTAATGAATAAAGTTGTGATATGATGGAAATTTAATACGGATTATTTAAATGTGCGTGAAAGTGTTTGATTAGAAACATTTATCATTAGTGCATAATGGACCGAATTACTTACTGTCAATATATTTAGCGATGCGAAGGTAACGAATGTGAGCACCAGATCAACCTACAACCCAGATAGTTCAGACAAACAGTGTAGCGGACAGAGATCATCATAATGGCCGCGTCAGAAGATGGTGAACTTTTAATTAATCATTTAAATAATAAGTTAATTAATTACAATTTGTTACTTTCCTTATGGCTACAAAGCGTAAAGTGTATTCTGTATTATATATTATATTGGTGTAGTTCTCTATTAAATAGTTCTGTATAAATATCAATCTCACTCCCCAAACTGTTACTCGTAACTCTGTTATATTATCACCATGAACAATATTTGTTGTTATAAACTTTACACTTTACAGTGCTAATTCACAGTACTGATTACAATTATTATAATTATCATATTGAAGGTCTACACTTTTAACCAGTTACAGTGTTATAGTTGCTGAAACTGTACCGCTAATTATCCCTCAGTTGTGATGGAGGTTCCTGATGAAAACATACAGAGGTTTACAGTGGAGTTGGAGTTTGTTCAGTGTCTAGCTAACCCTGAGTATCTTAATTGTACGTGAGTACGTTGTGGACTGTGGATTAGTTACATGGTAGATTTGATACAGTGTATAAGATATAATAGTAGTTTAGATATGGGGACAGTTTATAAATTTACCTATATCAAAGATAATAGCGTGTATGACGTATGTGTTAGTTGAAGCGTTATGTAGGAAGTATTGCTTGTCAGAATCTTAAGATGATCACTTATTGGGGCAACAAATGTAGATTATATTTATATAATTTAGATATAATAATATGAAGCATGTAAAATTCGGATTGGATTATTATTTATGAGTTGAATTGTTGACATTTTTTCTTCAGGGTAAATTTCTATATATAGATCATGAATACGATGTTTTCACATTGAAACGTTGAATAATTCCTTTCCTGATAAGAGCCTTTTTCTTGTCGCATCAAACGGGATCAATAGAAATTTACCCAAGAAAACAATATGAAGCATGTTACATAATATAATATGGGAAATACAAATTTAAATTTTGCTTCTGAATGACTTCCCAATTTCAGTAAATTGACAGGTTTGACAGTAATTATTACTTTCAGATCTAGCTCAACACAACTATTTCAAGGAGGAGGAATTTGTTAACTATCTCAAATATTTACAGTATTGGAAAGACCCCAAATATGCTCGGTTCATCAAGTAAGCGTGATTATAATTCTCTGTACTGTACAATATTAGAGTAATGTTTTTACCTCAAGTAAAACCTAATCTTCACATGTAATCTACCATTAACCATACCTTAAATCTTTGATACAGGTGAGGGTATTTTAGAACCGAACAAAGACACTAAAACAGATTTCACCGCCATATTTATATGTTTTTTCTTCTTCGATTCTAGTTCAATAACAACGCAGATAACAATGTACAATGTATAATACAATATATAATACAATGTATAATGTATAATATTTAAATCCTGGCAGGTATCCGCAGTGTCTGCAGCTGTTAGAACTCCTGCAGGAACCAAAGTTTAGGAATGAACTTATAAACGTACCCTGCACTAGATTCATTCAGGTGAGAAATCAGTTTTAATATCATGCAAAAACATGCAATCAATTCACAACTTTGAAATGAAATGAAATGAAATAATTTGCTTGTATACCGCCCATATGGTTAGCAACTGACACAAGTGTCAGGTACTAATCATGTCAGAGCGGTTCTAAAGGGTGAGGTGAAAATACAAATATTACAGTGAATGCGAAAAACTTGTAAAAAACTTCTCACTTTTTGCACATAACATGGCTCTGACTGACAAATCATGAGACTCAAAAACATTACACGAATCCACCAGATGGCTCTGACTGAAAATGATGGTTTGCTGAAGCATCTGATTATCCGATAATAAACTACTATAATTCCTCAGTCCCAACAAATGCAGCACTGGTCGCACCACTTTAGAAGACGAGCCAATTTAGTGAACAACTCTGCAGCAAAGAAAGAAACTGATGGTCAGTCACTAGATGTTATCGTACTACTTTCTTGAAATAGCGCTTCATTATCAACAGATTACTGGTAACTTGCATAGTCACTAAATACTACTCTTAGTAAACAAGAAATTTTTGATATTTTCAGGGAAACCAGAAATACGTATGAAAGAGGAACCGCAGTCCTGAAAGTAGTTCATTATTGTTGGAGGTCTAACTCTAAGCACCGTACAGATTATGAAGATAATGCCCACAATAGCTTTGAAGATGTATATCCCTCTTTGGCTGTGCTTGATGACATTTGATTGGTTCTAACGAGATGATTGTAGAAATACTCATTAACATCACTTCTCTCTGCAATCCAATATCGTGTATTATCATGTTTCTATAGAAGAAGTTTTGCTCTGTGATAAAATTGGTTTTATCAGTTGGTAACTGGGAATTGTCACTTTATTAATTTTATTTGTTTAAGTTAGGTAGTTATAACTTTATTATAAATATTAAAATTACCAATTCAAGAATTGTTCCATCTTATTTTGTAACACGACACAATTGAAGGGTCTACTCAAGTTTAAGTGCGGCACACGCGAAAATCAAATGGTAGGGCTATTATCGCAATTTTGCAAGCGCGCCTATCGTATCGATCAAAGTGCAGACGCGCGCGCATGCCGCCATATATAATGAATTATACATGATGCCATGTTGTATTATATTGTGTGTTCAGTGTTGAGTAATCCACGGGTTGCGGACGGCCCACCGAATTGTAGCGCAATACACTACTGGGCCATGCATCCAATTATCTTAAACTAAATGCATCGTGTATGCGATGCTTACCAACTTAGCTAGCCAAATAAAAAATTACACGTAAATTTTTGACGGATTTTACTCGTCTAAATTTCTTCGAAGTAGCGCGCGCCGCTTTCAAATAATAATAATATGCTATTAATTAGTGCCTAGTGGGATACGTACATGATGAAATTAATAATGTACTTGGTTGGTTCAGCGCCGCGCGCCAACAATTATATAATTCAGATTGTCACGCAAAATAACTTTGCGCAGGTAGTCACGTGGGCGATAACAGTGCTCGCAGGCACGTACGGTCGCAAAGCTACCATATAAAAAAAACGTCGATCGCTACCCTTGTCCTTGACTCTTTTGTGCCTTCGGCACTTTGAGTCATGGATCGGGAAAAAATTACACGTAAATTTTTGACGGATTTCACTCGTCTAAATTTCTTCGAAGTAGCGCGCGCCGCTTTCTTCTCGAAATGGCCCGATGGCAAGTGCTACGAAGTAGCGCTCGCCGGGCCAGACCATTAACAATGGTCAAGTAAATTTTAGTGTTGTAGCGCGATGCACTACTGGGTCGCGCCGCGCATTTTTTCGCAACCGCAGATGTAGATGCAGATCGGCGTAATGCGAAGGATTGACATCGTGAATCAATACCAGCCGTCATACATCACGCTACAAGTCGATAAAATCTGAATTTTTAAAAGGAACTGTGAGATAATTTTACGTTTTTATAAAGTATTAAGGCAAATCTGCATTAAAAATGCTTTCGACTTTTGTATGTTATAGCGCTGCACAAATAAAATTGTAAATAAAAGACTATGATATAAAAGACTACAATCTGCAATATTATTCATTAATACGTTAACGGGGCAAATGTGTTTATTGCTACAATGTATTGAAGATTGTAGGATTTACCACTAGGCAGTGTAGCTGTTACCTGGGGACCTCAGGCTATTAGGTTCATATAGAGATTCGGCGGAATGACAGGCTGAGCGCGGCCCAGTAATGTAGTTGTAACCCAAATATGCACCGACTGCTGTACGTGTTCTTAAACACAATAAATCATATCCACTTTCAAGTTGCAATTCATATCCTCGAATTACACAACATAAATTGAAGTGTAGACTTTCTGTCACAACAAGACTGTAATCCACAGTAACAACCCTAAACAGAATCCTTTATCTCTGCCACAGTTCTTATCTGGTTCAAATATGAGCCTTGTCTTCAAAAACTCATTCGAACTAGTGTTTCATTGTGTGTAAAATCTTTCTGGCCTGCACATTTTTTGTCCCGTTAGTTGTCTATCCTCCCTCGATCCAATTAACAGTCAAAAGTAACAAGTTATAGTTATACACCATGCCAAACACAAATTATGTTTTAATAGTGAATTGTTATACATTTTTTTTGGTTCTGTAAAACCCAGGAAACCTTACTGGCTGGAGCCTAACTTTGAAAGTAAAAGAGATAGAAACGAATTGTAGCGCGATGCACTACTGGGTCGCGCGCGCATCAAATAATGCTTCTCGCAACCACGGTAGATCGGCGAGATGCACCACTGTGCCTCACCGAGCTGCGAAGGATTGACATCGTGAATCAAGAAACGAACGTCTGGTTTTCAATAAAATGTTCGCCTTGTAAAAATAACGTCCCCCCCCCCCCCCCCCCCTTAGCTTAGGGGGAAAATTAAAAACAACGTAGATTTTGAATTATAGCGAAAAGTCATATTTTAGGTCATATAAAACTGCACAGCTTTAACTTTGCAGATTGGTGTTCTCTGATTGGCTGAATCGTATCACGTGGTACGCGGTACAATTGCATCTTTGGAATGTTTGAAGCGTGCAAATGCAATGAACTCACGAGCGCGCGCGGAGCTCAACAAGCTGTGAAAAGGCGATCACCCTGTAGTAATATCGCTAGCCGGTAAGGTCTGCTGGGAATTTGAGTTATCAACGAATTTATTGATTCACGATGTCAATCCTTCGCATCTCGCCGATCTGCATGCGAGAAGCATTATTGGATGCGCGCGCGCGACCCAGTAGTGCATCGCGCTACAACGAATTTATACCTATTTTGTCATTTTTAGACCTCTTAATCAAGGCCAATCTCTCCCAACTAAATTAGGTTCGGTAGTTAAGTATGATTGGAAGGTTCTGACAAATTTTCAGCATGATTCATGTTCAGGAACCGAACATATGCATATGATATGACAGAATAATACGACAAAAATCAACGAATTTCGTCAAATTACGCGACTTTTAACCTAATTTTGCTCCAAAAGCCGCGCACCATCAAATATGGCACTTAGGAGAAACTCACTGATCATTCCAAAAAGGTATAATAAATTTGGTACTGTGAAAATTCTTACAGTCTCTAGAAAACGATGGTACACAAATTTTGAAAATCCGAGCAAGTTTATTTTTATCGTGCACCGCCTACGTAACACAATTCAGCCAAACAGAGTACAGGAATCTGGAAAGTTAAAGTTGCAAACTTTTGATCGGCCCAAAATGACACTTTTCTAGAAATTTGTAGGTATAAACTCCAAATCTACGTTGTTTTAAATGTTCCCCCTGGGGGAAACGTTACTTTTACAAGACGAACATGTTGCAAAAAACCGGAAATCTTTAATTCTTTTACTTTCAAAGTTAGGCCCCATCCATGCGCGATCAAAAATTTGGCAAAAACGCTTGCGGAGTGACAATATTCAAACTTCGATAAAGTATATGAAGTGGGTACTTCTCGAAAGGAAAAATTTAGGCAAACACGATTTGACTATTTTTGGGTTGATTTAATACAACTGCAAAAAATTATTCAATCTTCAAGCAAAAAAGTCAAAATTTTTACCACTTTTTTGGATTTTTACCTGCGCTAAAATAGAGGGATTTGTTTTGTTTTTATACCATCTTGTGCGGCTGTCTTTTAGCTATCTTCATGCAAGTTTTGCCGACATGCCAACAAAATTAACTTGCCTAAATTATCAAAAAACATGGTTTTTTGGCCTATTTTTGGCCCCAAAATCGGTTTTTTTGCGATTTTAACCGCGCTAACTCAGTCCAATCATCTTGAAACTACTTTTAATCGATTCTACGGTCAAAAATACGTCTAGTAAGGTGTATCTGGGGTCCCTAGCGTATCGAGCAGACAATGCCCGTAAGAGCCTCTACTACCAGTAAGGGTTTCTGGGAATTTATAGTAATTTTACCAGTAATTATTTCAAGTGGAAAGCGCACATGATAATCGTGTTTTCATTTTAGACCTGCAGAACTTTAAAGATTCTGCGTGCATTTTAGGAAAGTCACACGTGACATTCGCAATTAGACTGCAGAGTCTCGGCTTACCTGAGGACCCCAGGCTATTATGTTCATTAACAATATGAATAAAGATTTGGCGGAATGACAGGCTGAGCGCGGCCCAGTAAAGTCTCGGCATTCGCACACCAATTAAAACAGAATAGTTTGTAATTACGCATCTGAATAGAGCTCAATAATTAAGGTTTGCGGAGCGAACTTCGAATACTGATTTCAATAATCGTGATTCAAGCACTGATTCCAATAATCGTGACTCGTGGAAGTGAGTTGTCGTTTGTCGATTTCTCAACTCGCCCTGGAGTCTCTATCCCACTCTGATTGTTTTTCTGAGCACCCAATCAGATGAGAGAGCAGCTTTCGGTTATACTGCATTGGCGAAGTTGCCTGCTAGATAGCCAAGAAAATTGTCAACATTGTCAAAATTGAGAATTATGACCCGCCCTCATTTCAATAAGAAAGGAGGAGTTACTGGTGAGTAGATACCAGAGCTAGAGAGACAACTATTTTTATTCACCAATGTCGTCAATCAACGCCCCCTGGAGCATATATTTCTGTCTAATCTGGCGGCTTCATTATTTTATAATGATTAAATTCATTATATTATAATTATATCTCCCATTCAGATGGGAGAGTTCATTCCGGTCAATCTTTATTGGCTAAGCTATAGTATAAGTATTCGCGTTCTGCTAAAGTGCTAATGCCGATTGCCGGTGTTAGCTGTTTTTCGGTCGCATCTCGTCGCTTCGTAATCAACTTCAACTTTAGTAAGGCTGTCTCAGAGACAGTATATCAGAGAAATTAATATCCCATTAAGGTCAATCCAGTTTCTCCGTTGTCCGAAAACTTAAATTACAGCTGCAACTTCCCCAAATGGGGCTTAAACTTGTAAATAAAGCCCGCCATTTGGAGAAGGGAAATGGCCGCGTTAAATCGGGGTTTGCGGTTATCGGGGCGCGATATTGCGATAAATCGGGGTTTTATATATTTGTGGTAATATTCTTACGAATCATATTCTAGGCACGATAATATGAGACTACTCGTTCTGGTAGGGCTGCTGACTTTTGTCTGTTCTGAGCTTGGTAATGAAGCACCAGAGGTAATGAAACTACCTCATCTCCTCTCAATACTGAACCTCACGGCCTGGGATAGAATCACACAATCGACCCAATTCCTGCTAACGGCACCCGGACTAGCTCAAAGGAAATTTGAGCAAATAATCTGTAATGACTTTGTCTTTGGGGAAATAGAGTCCTTAATCGCGGTACGGGATAACTACAAAGAATACAGATTCTGGGATATTGATCAATTTACGGAGGCAAGGGAGGGGAAATCCTTTTCCGGATACAAACTTTGCTACTACGGGAACTTCAATGTGTCAGGTTTACTGCGAGCAGGTTGCGTACTCCCAGTAAGTCAGATGTGCAACAACTACTCATCCTGTCTTACGGACGAGTGTTACTGCGGCACCGAGACTTTCCTTTGCGCTGATGGTGATGGTTGTATTTCTTTGCAGCAAGTTTGCAACGGTAGAGCACATTGTAAGGACTACAGTGACGAATGTGCTTGTCAAGATTTTCTAACTTGCAAAAAGTTGCCCAGTTATAATCAGTCACAAGCAGAATGCTACATAGAGCTGGACTCCTTAAAGGCAAACTATGCGGCAGAAAAATTTTATGATGATTTAAAACCTTGGCAAGATGAAGATGATATAAGTATTGGACAGATATCATTAGATCCCAAAAAAGTTGAGCAATGCATAATGGATAGTACCTCAATCAGCTCTCACTGTAAAAGAATTAATTTGCATCATAAACTACAAGGAGCAAACTTCCCGACATACAAGTGCGAAAACAAGTCTTACAGTAACATCCAAAGTGTGAGCCACTGCGATGGTCGGAGAAAGATGGTATTCTGTGATGGTATTCAGCACTGTGAGAACGGTATTGATGAGCAGAACTCCCCAGACACGTTCTACTGCAAGTCAGACAACAAGCCCATTCCAATTAACATGACATGTGACTCAGTTTCAGATTGCTCGGATTCCTCTGATGAATGCACCAATTGTACCGCTTCCTCCTTCCTCTCCTCCCAAGATAATCTGATAAGTGGCAGAGTGCTTCCTTACGTGGTTGCAATTCAGATGGCTTGCATATTAGTCTTCAATATATATGCAATCTACCATCATCTGAATACATATGACTCCACTGCGAAGGCGGCATTCAGGGTTGACAAGATTCAGTGCATAGTACTCGGTGGATATGACTTACTAATCGCCGTCTACCTCGCCACAATTGTAGGAGCCAACTTTGCCTACGATGGTGAGTACTGTCTGTTCGATGTGTACTGGAGATCCTCCATGGTCTGCAGATTTGTGGGGACAATCCTCTTCGCAGCTAGTCAAGGTGCGCTGCAGGTATCTGTAGCAATGAGTATCTGCCGGTGTTTCACCTGTCTTAATGGAATGTCCGGCAGGGAGATCACCATGTCCGGGTTCATGGCGGTCTTTCCCTTGGTTAACTGTGTCAATATTGCCAGAGCTTTTGCACCGTTTTTGGCAGCAATAACCGTGTTGTCTGAGTGGGCTGAAATAATCATTCATGAAAATTTGTTTACTGATAATCCTCTCATTACAAGAGGTAAGAAATTAGATTTAGCGAGGATGGAGACTGCATACAAGCGCATTTCTTTGAATGAAACTTCCTCCATGTCCACCAAAAAACTTTTAGAGGAACTGAGCAGTATGACCTTCAACGGCGGAATCTTTGCTCCAGACAGGATCACATCCATTTGGTTTTATGGAAAATCGTCCATGTGCTATCCTGACTTATTCACAAACGAACGAGTCATGCTAGGCTACAAAATCTTCTACATAATAGAAAGCTGCCTGTATCTGACAATCATTATGACATGCTACCTTCTGATCTGTCGTCAGTTTATAAAATCTCGAGCACAAGCACGACCAACCAACAGAGCGGAGAATGAGTCTAATGACCAGGTTTTCTTTCTATCTCTGAAGATATCCCTGGTGATCGGATCCCAGCTGGTATGTTGGATCCCCGTCAATGTTGCAATCATTGGGAGCTTCTTCGACTGGTCCATTCCATTCTTGGATACTGACACTTTGATTGGAATTGTTGTCCCGATCAATTCGTTGATAAACCCCTTGATACATTGCAAGCCGATATATGACTGGGTGACAGGGAAGATCGCAATACTGAAACGTGAAATGATATCTTGGATTAACCCAAGAAGAATTAACAACAGGGTTGCAGAGATGGAGATGCAAGAACGTACTAGTAGTAATGTTGTTGCGCCTATCATGTAGACATGTGTTGTGAAGTGACACACTATATTACAGTAGCAAAAGATCCAGGAAAAATCTGGATCGCATATGATTTGAAGAAAGGATTAGATCGTTCTTACTTAGATCGTGCTGACTGTTGACTGCTGTGGATATGTATCTGACTAGCTATTACGTAACTAACTATTAAGCTCTATCAATGCGAGTAACGGCTGAAAGTTAAGAATATTTACTTTTAAATTGTTTGGGATTGTTATTTTTGTTGTTGATTTGCTTACGTTATTTGCTACTTTTATCATGCTGACTGTACTACCTAATTTTCAATTTTGTTTGGTTCTTTTAGAATGGGTTTTGTCTGCTTTTATGCACGGTTAAACGGGGGGATCATACACTTAGTACCGGACGTGACGTTGGTGGGTGGGTCATTTTTTCTTCTAAAAACACAGTTAGTACATGGTACTAACTGGTGGGTCTACTGCCCATTTTCCAGAAAACACGATTTTTCGACAGTTAGTACCGCAAAAGGCGGCAAAAGGGGTGGGTGTCTTACGTATTATCCAAAAAAACAGTTAGTACCGCAAAGGGGTTGGGTGTGTCTAGTGAAAAATATCCAAAACTGCACTTAGTCGACGTGATGTCCGACACTTGGTACCCGATCCCCCCCCCCTCCCCGGGTTAAACGAATCTGATAAAATACTAAGTCTTCTCGAGCAGCTTAAACAGTAAACCGAGCAGCCAAAGTAAGAAGAATAACTCCACTCCAACTCTTTGCAGTTACCACATCAGTAAACCGAGCAGCCAAAGTACGAAGAACAACTCCACTCCAACTCTTTGCAGTTACCACATCAGTAAACCGAGCAGCCAAAGTAAGAAGAACAACTCCACTCCAACTCTTTGCAGTTACCACATCAGTAAACCGAGCAGCCAAAGTAAGAAGAACAACTCCACTCCAACTCTTTGCAGTTACCACATCAGTAAACCGAGCAGCCAAAGTAAGAAGAACAACTCCACTCCAACTCTTTGCAGTTACCACATCAGTTTATATTCCAGTTTAACCACAATCCCATGTAATATGCTCATAATATGATATAAATTAATTTACCACTATAGGCTACCACTAGACCCCCCAGAATCTCATAAAACGAACGACTTGGATCGTTAGCCATCACAGTGTTTTATGTGAACCTTGCTCTTTATTGTCATCTTGGTGGACTGGTTACATTATCATCCGACATAATGCAGTTCGGGATTTTTTAGCTGTCACAGAATGTTCAGATGTTGAGATCGAACCTCCGCTTCAAGAACTGGAAGGAGATAAGAACAGTTCGCGAGGTTCTCAACACTTACGGGTGATCAGGCAATGGTAGAAAATAAAATAGGATACACAATTAGTACCACTGGATCTATCTGAAGGGACAGTAAACATAAACATGTCACCTGTAGATGAGAATCTCGCTCTAAAATGCAAGAATTTAGAACTTACAGCACTATAAGCTGAGTGTCTTCGGTGGTTTTGTCCCTCAGCAACTCTCCCATCCTAATATACTGTTTCGTCTTAGCATCAATTTGTTCTGCTTCTTCTGCAGGCAATTGTACTTCATGTAGTCGTCAATACTGAAAGAGAAAGTTTTAGTTAAAACAATGTTCAGACTCGTATATAGTGCTATCTAGAGAGAATATCACAGGACATTCAGCCGGATATCCGGTCACAAGCATGATATATTGTGAAGTGAACTGATAGGAGCTTGCAGTGCATGGAAATCTAGCGTCCGCCACCAAATAAAATGGGCGCAATTCTTGTCGAGAAGTTCAACGTTGAATTTACAATGTTTATAATGGGTTAGCTGACACATTCTAACAAATGAGACTGCAAACACTGCGTGGTTTACTGAGAGCTTACACAAAACTACACTGGAGTATATTTTGCGAAACGTGCTTCGATTTTTATGAGAATTTTAAATTTTATATCTACATTTTTTGGCACTGTTTTGTTTGGTGTAATTTGAATTGATTGCGAGATCAACAACTAGTTATTAATTAAGCAGATGTAGTTTAAGAGAACGAGCAAGTTGAAGTAGAATCTAGCAGATATGGATAATTAGGAGAGACAGCCGATTGTAGGAAACGAGATAACTCCTCAATCAAGCTATAACACTACAAATACAAATGAGAATCCCACTGACTCAGCCGACAGAGCGGCGCCCACAAATGAAGTTTCAGCGACAGAACAAGTTGCCCCAGAACAAGCTGCCCCAGAACAAGCCATCCCCTCAGCAGACTCTCAGTCTGCCCCACAACCAAGATTACCCCAATACAGTGAATACCAGCAACCCCGGCAGGACAATAGGTATCAAATGGGTGGTTTTCTTGCTGATGAGCCAGCACCTCCAATAGATGACGGGCCGCTCCCCACCAGGACCAGAATGGGGCAGCCCGCTCAGTCGGGGATGCCTCCACCAGGTCTTGTGGATATCAACTACGCACTGGACACGGCTGTGTACTCCAAATACCACAGTCTACTCCTAGCTGCGGGGTCTCTGGCCCAGATTGGAGCTGGTAGTCAAGTGTTCCTAACTTGTGTTATCCAGGCATACGCTAACTGCAAGTTTGACTTGAGTTCATCTGAGAGATCCTGGCTGCTTTGCTCTATCTTCATTCTCTATCCATTTGGGGCTTGTTTTATCGGCTGGACAGCGGACAAGTGGGGAAGGAAATGGTCGCTGATAGGTTGCCTCTACCTCGTCCTCATCACTGGAATCGTCCAGATATTTGCCTCCGCTTGGTGGGTCCTCTTTACAGCTCGACTCCTTATGGGCTTCTTCTTGCCGGGTGTCATGAACATTCCTCTCATATTTTGGGTCGAGGTTTCCGCTTACAATCACAGGGAGGAAGGTATGCTGGCATTCATGGCTCTATTCGCTAGTGGAGCAGCATATGATTTCACACTGGCAGCTATCTTCTCAAGTGTATCAGAGAGCTATGCCTACGAGTTCATCTGTGGCTTGTCTGTATTTCCAATAGTGCTAGCTGTTGTCTTCTCTCACTTAACTCAAGAAGGACCCCGCTGGCTTGGAGTTGGCAGCACTCTCAAGGAAGCTGATCTGGCTCTAAGAGAGTACGGGTACCAGCCGGAGAACCCTAACGTGACGACCCCCATTGATATCTACTACGTGCACATGCGAGGTAACATCTGTCTAGTCTTCAAATACCTCTGTTGTGCGGTCAGTCTCTTCGCTACCCTCCTCTTCTGCAACTACTATATCGAGTACGGTATCATAGTGATACTCCCTTACATGTTTTACTGGGACTACTGTGGGATGGGTTTCAGGGAGAACACCCACGATAACCAGATCTTCAAGGTGATAACTGATTTCTTTACCGGTCAGAAGTGCGAGGAGATCAGTACTTATAGTTTCCTTTACTTGCTGGCTATAGCAGCCTGCATTGTGTTAGGTCTGGTCGTGGGTTACTTCACTCAGCAGTACTTTGGTAGTCGTGTTACCCTCATTACATACTCAACCCTCTCGTGTATCATTTTGTCGTTCCTGTATATCTGCTGGAGCTACATTTTCACTATCATTGTGTTGGTTTTTGGTATGGTGTTCTTAATAGCTACCCAATACTCGCTGTGGAGCAGTGTCCTGATTCAGAGTCCCACTTTTATTAGAGCAAGTGGAGTGGGATACGCTGATGCCTGGGGTAAGGTTGGAGCTCTCAGTGCTATCGCTTTGTGCTGTCAGATGGGAGACATGTATCTGCTTGATATGGTTTATTGGGCCTTCCTCGCAGTAGGAATCCTACAGAACTTCTTCGTTTTCCTGGTGTCTATGGAGGCTAAAGGTTCGAGAGTGTTTGATAATCTGCCGTCGGATCCCCGAGCTAATGAACCCCCTTCTTTGTGGAGCGGGCTCATTAGCTCGGGGGCCCTGTCCTCCAGGGCCCCCTCCTCCTCCTCCTCCTCCACCTCAATACTACCCCTATCCTAATGACAGACCTTGTCACTACCAGTATTAGAGACCCTGACCCTGACCCTGACCCTGACCCTGACCCTGACCCTGACCCTGACCCTGACCCTGACCCTGACCCTGACCCTGACCCTGACCATGACCCTGACCCTGACCCTGACCCTGACCCTGACCCTGACCCTGACCCTGACCCTGACCCTGACCCTGACCCTGACCCTGACCCTGACCCTGACCCTGACCCTGACCCTGACCCTGACCCTGACCCTGACCCTGACCCTGACCCTGACCCTGACCCTGACCCTGACCCTGACCCTGACCCTGACCCTGACCCTGACCCTGACCCTGACCCTGACCCTGACCCTGACCCTGACCCTGACCCTGACCCTGACCCTGACCCTGACCCTGACCCTGACCCTGACCCTGACCCTGACCCTGACCCTGACCCTGACCCTGACCCTGACCCTGACCCTGACCCTGACCCTGACCCTGACCCTGACCCTGACCCTGACCCTGACCCTGACCCTGACCCTGACCCTGACCCTGACCCTGACCCTGACCCTGACCCTGACCCTGACCCTGACCCTGACCCTGACCCTGACCCTGACCCTGACCCTGACCCTGACCCTGACCCTGACCCTGACCCTGACCCTGACCCTGACCCTGACCCTGACCCTGACCCTGACCCTGACCCTGACCCTGACCCTGACCCTGACCCTGACCCTGACCCTGACCCTGACCCTGACCCTGACCCTGACCCTGACCCTGACCCTGACCCTGACCCTGACCCTGACCCTGACCCTGACCCTGACCCTGACCCTGACCCTGACCCTGACCCTGACCCTGACCCTGACCCTGACCCTGACCCTGACCCTGACCCTGACCCTGACCCTGACCCTGACCCTGATGGGAGACATGTATCTGCTTGATATGGTTTATTGGGCCTTCCTCGCAGTGGGAATCCTACAGAACTTCTTCGTTTTCCTGGTGTCTATGGAGGCTAAAGGTTCGAGAGTGTTTGATAATCTGCCGTCGGATCCCCGAGCTAATGAACCCCCTTCTTTGTGGAGCGGGCTCATTAGCTCGGGGGCCCTGTCCTCCAGGGCCCCCTCCTCCTCCTCCTCCACCTCAATACTACCCCTATCCTAATGACAGACCTTGTCACTACCAGTATTAGAGACCCTGACCCTGACCCTGACCCTGACCCTGACCCTGACCCTGACCCTGACCCTGACCCTGACCCTGACCCTGACCCTGACCCTGACCCTGACCCTGACCCTGACCCTGACCCTGACCCTGACCCTGACCCTGACCCTGACCCTGACCCTGACCCTGACCCTGACCCTGACCCTGACCCTGACCCTGACCCTGACCCTGACCCTGACCCTGACCCTGACCCTGACCCTGACCCTGACCCTGACCCTGACCCTGACCCTGACCCTGACCCTGACCCTGACCCTGACCCTGACCCTGACCCTGACCCTGACCCTGACCCTGACCCTGACCCTGACCCTGACCCTGACCCTGACCCTGACCCTGACCCTGACCCTGACCCTGACCCTGACCCTGACCCTGACCCTGACCCTGACCCTGACCCTGACCCTGACCCTGACCCTGACCCTGACCCTGACCCTGACCCTGACCCTGACCCTGACCCTGACCCTGACCCTGACCCTGACCCTGACCCTGACCCTGACCCTGACCCTGACCCTGACCCTAACCCGATCAATTGACCCCAGTGTAATTAATTGTCAGGGGGTCAATTGTCGTACTAAGTCCTAGATTTCGCGACAATTGACCCAGTGTAGCCGGCAGACCCCGTAAGAACTGGACGACCTGCGTACTCGAAGATGCTGCTAAGTTTACTGGTGTGGAAAACATCGACAGCAACACAACAGAAGCTTTAGCTACCAACCGAGAACAGTGGAGACATATTTTACGACGCCAACGCGATGTGTGTGTTACCTGAGGACCCCAGGCTATTATGTTCAACCGAATAAAGATTTGGCGGAATGACAGGCTGAGCGCGGCCCAGTAATGTGTGTGATGCAGGCAACTCCAACGACTAAGAGGAGACCTTACAATTTAACATGTATGTTACGTACCAAATAGGTTTATCGATGGTACAGTGACTGTAATATGACTATCATGTGATCCGCCGTAGGTCACAAGATCGCGAATCAGAACTTCAACTCAACTAGGAATCGGAACAAGTTTAATTCTAGGATAACGCAGCCTCATGTTATCTCTTTTTGCTAAATTTTGTGTCAAAAGTTGTGAACAATTTTAAATAGTTTAATTTAATTTAACTAATAACTATTTACAATTTTTAAATAACTTAAAATAGTGTGGGCTCTATATAAGGAACTTAATCTGATTTTACCTGGGGGCCCAGTAAAATCTGATTGTAAGATTTCTTAGAAAGTTAACAAATGAAACACAGGTGTAAGGTTTGCGATCAGCTGATTTGATTTGAAATTTTCATCAAACAATACAGAAATGTACAGCAATGAACTTATATAAAAGTATATAAACACTGGCGACAAAAAATGTTTATGCTGGAAAATGAGCTCAGGCTGGTTAGGACTAGGTGTTAGGGCAGGCACAAATAAACAGGATTTGACTGTACTATATGATTGCAGGGAAACCAGTAACATCCATGTTAGAGCACACGTGCTCTGGACTTTTACTCTAACAGCCATAAAATATGCCGGCTACGGACCCCCTCCAGTTTCAATTTTTTCATTTCCCAATCTCATTCATAAAAATCAGTTTAATTTGCTGTTGTCAACAGCAAATTTAAATTTAAATAGATTGACAGTGTTGATCTATCTATAAGTATAACTATAACTATAAGTATGAAGCTGTTTTTAGACCAGTCTTAAATTAGTGCGGTCAAGTTTTTGAAAGCGAGGTCATACGAATGATAATTCTTATCAAATAAACAGCTTGCAAAATAAAGATGTAAAAAGTGTCAGTTTAAGTGACTCAACTTTAAGTTTACGTCACGGGATGAAACATCACATAAAACAGAAAGTTTCTTTTCAATTTTCTTCAATTTACAATCCACTAGGCAGTGAAAGTCGCGTAGGCGTTCTCAAACTCGCTTTCATTTTCGTACAAGTGACAATTTGGGCAGTCTTGACAGTCTTGACAATTATCCTCGCTACAGGCCGCCGGGAGTTGAGGCAACACTGTCGTTTCCGGGAAAGAACCAGGAGCTGAAAAGAACCGTAATATAATTTCTCATGATCATTTATGGGGGCTGGCGATAAGAATTTGAAAACGTTGTAAAAATTGCATCTTCATTAAATAAAAGCAAATCTATTTAGACTCTGAGTAGCATATTACAAAATAATAATTTGATGATTTGGATCGACAAAATTAATAATAGTCCCCCAGCCGTCCCTTCGTTAGGTACGCTACTGGGTATAAATGCTTGCCAGTACTGTGATTACTTGACGGATGACACTCTTAGCCGAACTGACGAAGTAACAATGGACAATGTGATTATTATATTTACCTTCAACTGGAGCAGTCGCTGAATTCACTATTTTTCCCCGTATAATGAAAACCACAGTTGCGATTACCACTCCAGCGAAAATAATTGCTGCAGTTGTAATTCCGACCATGCTCAGTGCTGAAACTAAAACAAACATTTCATAACAAGAAAGGAAATCGTGGTCTCAATTCGAGTTCTGATAAGCAATAAGTAAACTTAATATTAATCACGAAATTGATAACGATCATAAATTATCCTAAGATGGCAAGTACGTACGGTACGTACCTTTAAATTAGCTGTACGGTACGTACTTAATAAAGTAGGCTGAAAGGTACAAATCCAGTTGATAGCAATGGAAACAAAAACTAGACGGTACGTGCGCAGATTAATTCAGAAGTAGAAGAATTGGAACCTTCGCGCGAAATTCTCAAAATTTTTCTGCTTAAACAGTTGGCCCAAATAGTATTCATTCAGTGTTTTAAGTTCTTCGTCAATTTGTGAGACCAATTTTAGAGATTACAAGTATATTATGGACAAGCGTAGATTAAGGTTGCGACCTGAGCTAGCTGAAAAGCTGGTGTTCGTATACTGCAACAAAAGGATGAAGCTTTGAGTTTAACGATAATTACAAGTAGTAGTAGTGTAGTAGATCCGGTACACAAATTTTCCTTTTGAATCTTTTATTGTTTTAACCACTGTGTTTATTTTCGACTTCTATTTCAAAAATTATGATGATAATACTAATCAAAAATTGCAAGTAATTCACTGAAGTTGATTCTAAAAATTTGAAAAAAAATTGTACCTTACAGTGCCTGTACGGTACGTACCTTTAAAAGTAGCTGTACCGTACGTACTTAAAGCCCTGTACCGTACGTACTTGCCATCTAAGAAATTATCATGTGAGATAACTCGGTGGAACGGCGAGGAGGAGAGTCATATTTGATTTGGCACGTGATATTGGTTTGGGGATCTGACAGATCACTGATTTGCATATGATTGTCACGTGCCCAAAATATGACTCAACTCCCAACCATAATCCATCTGTGCAATACAAATACAATGCAATTAGTAACTTACTGCATCCATCATTGACATTACACGAATCAAGTTTTACGGTTTGGCCAACACAGTGACTGAAAAAAGTGCCGAATTAGAGTTTTTCTATTATGGATAAACGCAATAAAATACGTTCATAATCATTTCTTACAATAACTCGTTTACAATGTTCTCATGATAATGAAATCATTTAATCCAATAGAAATAGAAAATTTGAGCGGACTTTGACTTGAACGCTATATGACCTAATCCAGTGTCCACTGTCCACATAATGTCCGTTCAAAAAAGTCCAATAAGGTAGTCGTGCTGGATGTTACAAAAATGCAGTGCTTATCAAAATTAGTTATCAAGAATAAAATTGAAAGTAGATTATTCTTAGTCAGTAGATCGAAAGTTTACCTGCCACCACAAGAAGGAGCAGGATTGTTGCATGATCTTGACTGGGACTTGTTGCCGGTACCAACGG